AAACCCCCATATCCCCTGGAGCCCCCATAACCAGTGATGCCCCCTAAACCATAGGAACACCCATATCCCCTAGAGCCCCCATAACCAGAGAAGCCCCCCAGGCTCAGGGAGCTACCATAGCCCCCCAGTCCAAAGGAGCCCACAGAATTCCGTGAGCTTCCATAGCCAAAAGAGCCCCCGTAGCCCAAGGAGCTTGGGGAGCTGAAGGAACTCCCCAGCCAGGCTGGACCTGAGGATCCCACAACGCTCTCCTGAGGGCAGGAGCTGAGGATGGGGCCTGGCAATGTCACCACCACCGGCGGGGGGAAGATGGTGGCTCTGGAGTCAGGGCATTGCTGCACACATGGCTGGTTGGAGCTCTGGGCAATGGGCTGAGGGCAGCTCACCCCGCCAGGTCTGCAGGCCTCACTGGAGCAAGACATCCTTCTTCTGAGGGCTGGGAAGCTGCAAGGGAAGCAGTGAGGAATTTCAAAGTAAACAAACAACTCCTTGAGCTGAGCTGGGAGTAGATGATCAAGAGTATTAAGCAATAACTGTGTCCGAAGTATCAGAAGTTAACAGGGCAACAGATGAATTTATACATGCTAATAAATAAAACCTACTCTTGTATCAACTCAGCTTTTATCCTTTCTCTCATCTCATCAGGCTCAATTTTGGAAATAATTTTATGTGAAAGAAAAAATCTGTAGTGGAGAAATTAGATCTTTCTGTAGGTATTTGCCTCATGAGGATGCACTCACCAGGCATAAGAACCAGGAGAAAAGAAATCAACAACTGTATAGATTCATTCAGACTTTATGAGGTGAAAATAATCCCAAGTACTTCTAGGGCTTGGAGATCTATTTCCTATCCTAAAGCAGTGACTCCTGCTGCTGCATGTGGACAAAGACATATTTCTCACAAGGAAACAAAGGATACAAGTCTGTAAAAACACCTACAGGTATCACCCGTGTGACAAAATTAGAGGAAATGCCAACAGTACTAGAAGGAAATCACACTCACCTTGTTCACCACAGAGACTGAGACAAGAGAAGTGGATAGAAGACTGCAGGTGGCATGAGCTTTTATATCCTTCTTGAAGTCACCTTTTTTGCCTCTGGTCCTAATCTGTTACAAAACAAACCTGATATTGGGAGCTTTAATTTTGCCACCTCAGCACCGTCCCTCCCAAATATTAGCGTGGGTGTGATACAACTGCTGACAACAACAGTTACCTGTGATTGTCATTGTAGGGGGTTTGGGGAACCTGCCATGAAGCCATGGACTGAAAGCTAGATCAAGAGTTGCCCACCATGTTAGTCCCATGTTAATGTTTGAGGTAATATTTACATGGTGTGGAGCCCTTTTTGGCACCACGTACACTAACCTGGTGAAGATCATCCATCATGAGCTAGAAATCTGGTTTTGAGAGGCCACAAGTTCTTGCCATTGGCTGGGGCTCTATAAACCATGGAGTGGTTTGGGATGGAAGGGACCTTCAAGAACATCTAGTTCCAACCCCCCTGCATGGGCAGGTAACACAAGAATAGAATTTAATAGAACAAGTCTGTGGTAAATCTGTTGGTTGGGGGTTTTTTCCTCATTTTATAATCTTGCAAGAGATAAGATAGAAATTACCTCTAAATGGGAAGATAACTTTGCCTTTGAGGTGTCATCAGAATTTGTTGATGATACTGTCAGGCACCTGGAAGATAATGACTTTAAGCTGTTTCACAAATACTCTTTAATACTTCATGCTTGCAATTTCTGTTATTATCATATTAAATAAAGAAGGGCAGGATTGAGAAGCTCCCTTGTTATGAAACAGCATCATTTAAAAATATGTCAATCAATGTCACTCCTTTTGATTCCTTAACCAGACTATGGTTTATATCTCCAATTCTTGCAATGATTTGGTTTTCATTTATGGTATCCAAGTCTTTATTTTATTACTACTAATATATTTGGGGAGATTATTACATGTCCATAATATGGACTATAGATATTACTTCATCTTCCCTTAGAAGCCAGTATTTTGGTAACATTCCTGAAGTGTTTATTGCATTAAATTCTAGGTGGGGAAGAGGATGAGGAAAGCCCCATTTAAAATGGTCTGAATGTTCAGATTTAACTGGCTATCATAGAATCATAGAATTGCAGACGGGTTTGGGTTGGAAGAGACATTAAAGATCATCCAATCCCCCCCCCCCCATGGGCAGGGACACCTCCCAGCAGCCCAGGCTGCTCCAAGCCCCATCCAACCTGCCCTTCAACACCCCCAGGGATGGGGCAGCCACAGCTTCCCTGGCCAACCTGGCCCAGGCTCTCCCCACCCTCACACTCCACAATTCCCTCCTCAGCTCCAACCTCCAGCTCCCTCTCCCACTTTTCATCCCTCCCCCTCATCCCATCCCTCCCTGCCCTTGGCCCAAGTCCCTCCTTCTTTGTCCATGTTCTGAAAAACAAAGGGGCTCAAACCGATGTCCTACAACCTCTTAGAGTCTCCAGGCCACTTGTTGTCACCTCCAAATGA